GGACCATACAGACACTTGAGGATATGCTGAGAGCTTGTACACTAGAGCAGGGTAGTGCTTGTGATATGTACTTGTCATTGGTGGAATTCTCGTATAATAACAGTTTTCACTCCAGTCTGGGCATGGCACCGTATGAGGCATTGTATGGAAGGAGATGTGGTACTCCTACTTGTTAGACTGAGGTAGGTGACAATGAGAGATTTGGTCCGAATTTTGTGCAGGAGACTACAGTGCAGTTTAAAATGATCAGAGAAAAACTTAAACAGGCACAGAATTGGCAGAAGAGTTATTATGACAATAGACACAGACCGCTGGAATTTGAAGAAGGTGACCATGTATTTGTGCGATTATCTCTGGTAACGGGTGTTGGTCGTGCATTAGGCGTAAGGAAGCTGAGTCCTCGGTTCACTGGGCTGTACCAGATTATGAAAAGAGTGGGATTAGTGGCATATCAGCTTGCCTTACCTCCACAATTATCGAATCTACATGACATTTTCCATGTATCTCAGTTGCAGCGTTATTTTCGGATGAATCACATGTGGTGATACCAGACGATATCGAAATTCGGGAGAACCTAAAGACTCTTGTAGGTCCTATTGACTTCCTTGACCGCAATGAAAAGAGGATGAGAAACAAGAATATTTCAATGTTAAAGATTCAATGGGAAGGATGTACACCTGAGGAGGCTACTTGGGAACGGGAGGATGAGATTCTCCGGCTGTATCCTGAGTTAGTGGACATGTATGATTTAATTTTGCGGACAAAATTTCTAAAAGGAGGGGTGAATATAACACCTCATATTTCTTAAACATATATTTATATATTAAATATGGATTAAAGGGTAGGATTAGTGAAAATCCTGAAATTAGGGTCAAAATACAAAGGAAGGGTAAAACGATAATTAACCAAACACGTAACCCTAGGAAAGTAAAATTGAGTAGGAGGTCTCAAATGGGAAAACTAACCCTGAAATGGATTCAGAACGAAAAATTGAGTGATTAGGCAAGTTTCTAGAAATTTGATGAATAGTGTTTTTAACGGGTAAAAATACCGCGGTGCAGTTGCATCGTAAAATGTGTCGAAAGAATTATTGATGAATTTGGTTGATAACTTAGGCAATTTTGAGTTGTGATTTCATGACTTTGTGAAATGACTTGATGGTATGAATGTGTAATTGAGTTGTGGAGTATTTGTTTGAGTTAATTATAGGATTGTAAGGTGTGTGGAAGGGTGAAATTAGATTGAATACCCTTAGGTGTAGGGACATGATGAATTTGGCCTATTGATGTCATTTAGGGTTTGATGGTGTAAAAAATTGTATAATTGATGTTGTGTAGTTGTGTATTGGTTTTAAATGAGTTGGATGTTGTTTGGATGCATGAGGTTTGGGGATGGAACCATTGGATAAGCATAAGTGTAGGAATTGGCCTAAAAGAGGATAATTTGAAAAATGGTGTTGGGATGGAGTTGGATGGAAAATTGGACTTGAAATGGTGTTGTGGTAACCTTAGAATGCTAATGGTAAATTAAAATAAAATTAAGAAAATTGTTTGGTAATTTTGGCCTTAGTGGCCGAAGCTATGCTTGTGGGAGGGGGTGTTTTGGTGCTTTGTAATTTTGGTTAATTGCACCGTGTTGATGATCCTTGTGTGATCACTGTAGGTTGCCTCCCACGGAAGTGAATTTGGAGCTTTGAGCTTGGTGGGTTGCCTTTGGTCCTGAACCAAAGGGATTTTGGTAAGTGGTCATGATTATATGCATGAATATTTAATGAGCATATGTAGGCTTTTGGTTGATTATAATTGTATTGGAAATGGCCTATGTGTAGGCATTTCTTGAAGTACCAAGCTCGGGGATGTATTAAATTGGAGCTATCAAGCAAGAAGGATTAATCAGGTAATCCCTTGGTACTGGGGTTTAATCCCCCTGTGTGCTCCACCATGCCCCTTGAGGGTAGTGGTTGGAGGTGTATGTTGGTAATGTAGTATAACATGTTCATACATTATTGTATGTTTAGTGGTACATATGAAGTACTGTGTCTCTGGTCAGTAGACAGTTTGCCTTCGAACATTACGGGCTTCCACTGGATAGGTCTTCATGAGGGAGTTCCAGTTGACCTGGGATCATGGTGTGTCATCCATTGAGGAGCACACTAGGAAAGTCTCGAGTGTATATGGATGGAAGGTGCCTTGGTTGATGTTCTGGGAACACTTCCTTGGATTGGAACCCGTAGGCTATATGCCGAGGCCAATAGGCCGGATGTTGCGTGGTATTGGCATTGACCATTCCAGCTTTATCGTATTTTATTCCCTATGCTTCCCTACTTCACTAAATCCCTTGCTTTATCTCATTTTGAATGTTGTATTATATTATTTATATGCATCAAAGTGAGCCATTGGGTGGAGTAATCACCTAAACCTCTGGGTTACTGAGATATATCCGTATATCTCATCCCATTTTGGGGACTTTATTTCAGGTAGTGCCAGTGGTACCGGAGCGGCGGGCAAGAGGCCCGTAGGATGAGCTTGGACATAGAGTCTAGTTTTCATTTTGTGGCCATTGGGCCTAGGCTAGACTTAGGACATGAACATTGCATGTGATCTAGGATTTATTATTTTCACCTTTGTCCATTACACATTTTGTCCAAGTTTAGTCGTTATTGCTCATGATTTATTTCGAGGACTTATTGTGTATATTTGAAGGATTATTGTAATTGTTGTAAAGAATCGTTGTAAATTGTATATTGAGACCTTGTGTAATATTGAAGCATGCTATATGATGAAAGGGCAATAGGCCTATTCTAGGATATGATTTATGTTTTATGCCAAAAGAATGCATGCAAAGGAATTAATGTGATTGAAATGGTTTAAGATTTGATAATTAAATTGATGAGTTGTAAAGTAATTTATTTGATATAAATTATGAAGGGTTGTAAGAGCACCAAGACATTGCTGGTCCTTGAGTGCCACCCATAATTATTAGGTACCATTTGAGGATAGATAACACACTTTTAAAAGTGGGATATGTTGGAAAAACAAAGGAGACACTGGCGAAATTTCTATAAAATGACAGATTTTGAGTGTACTTTGGGAGAGAATATCTCCCTCCACAAAATTTCAATAGGGAAAATTTGAGAACCATTGGAGCAGCACGCTGCCCTGTAGAAGCCGTGGAACACAGACTGCCCAAAATCCCCTGCACTTGGGGGCTGTCACTGTATGTTTTTGCGAAAATTATTCTCGTTTCATTTCTTGGTCAAATTAAGTGCATGATATGTAAAATTGAAGCTTGAGGTGTCTAGTTTACTGTATAAAAATTTTAAAGCAATAGGTGGAGTGATTTGTCCGGAATCTTGCAAAGAGTGAGGGATGTTTGGAGCCCGGTTTGAGGTTGGCTGACAGATTTGCTTGTCCAACTTCAAACGGTGATATCCGGAGCAAACGGGAACTTTTATTGAGCGTGTGATTGCTTGTTAGAAAGATAATTAAGTCTATAATAACATACTAAAAGATGGAAAGTGCGCGGCATTCGGATTTTCAGTAGTATCTAGAATACCGAACCATGTTCGGATATATAGAAACTGTAAAAGTGAGATTTAGACTAAGTGGGTTTATGGGAACCCCTTAGTGCCTTGAGAGGAGTATAATATGATATTTCGACACTTGTTTTAATTATTCCGCAATTAGTTTTCAGTTGCAGTCACAGCTTTTATTCGTTACGCTTTCTTGTTGTTTTAAATGCTCGCGTAATGAAAAGGAAAAAGTTTACTCGCATTTTTATAAATGAATTGTTGTGATTGTAACTGCACTTAATATCATAATCAATGTTAACAATACCGATGTACAACGTGCTATTACAGTGTCAAAGGGTCTTATCTCTCTCTCTCTCTCACACACACACAAATATATATATATGTGTGTGTGTGTGTGTGGAATGATCCGTTTACAAATTTTTGCAAATTAAACTATATACTCCCCCTGAAGAACATATTGTAGTTTGTAAGAGTTTGTAAACAAAAAATTTGTAAATATAATATTCGTCTCTCTTTCTCTCTCTCTCTATATATATATACGAGGGTTATATTTACAAATTTTTTGTTTATAAACTCTTACAAACTACACTATGTTTGACCGGTCATACACTAATCAAGAGTGTATGACCGATCATACTTAGTGTAATTTATAAAATAATTTACAAATGGATCATTTTCCATATATATATATATATATATATATATATATATATATATATATATATATATATATATATATATATATATATATATATATAAAAGGATCTTAATGGAGCCGTCCTTACAGATTTGTATATTAAAGTTAGTTGTTTCTTTATGAAAGAAATTAACTCATTGACATGAACTGTTTTTTTTCTTTTTCTTTTTTGATAAACAACATGAACTGTTTCTAGTTAATAGAAAACAGACAGAAAATATGAATATCTATCCAAAAAAAAAAAAAAATGAATATCAAGATTTTAGTTAGTATGTGTTTAAAAGATTGTTTTTTTTAATTTCACTTCTCTTTGTAAGTAGAAATTAGGCCAAACAAATTTTTACAAAAATTCTTATAATAAAAAGGATTTTTTTTTTGTGATAATGAAAAAAAAAGAAGCTAAAAAAAAATCACTCCCCGTTAAATCCGACTAGCGAATGTGAAGTGAAAAAAATCCTTATACACAGCCTTACCTTTGCATAATTGCAAAAAAGTTATTTTTTAGTTTTTTTTTTTTTTATAAGAAGAAGCTAAAAACTCCTTTTAAAATCTCTTTTTAAGTTGTATCAATTTTTTTTTTTTTAAATAAACAGTTTTTTTTTTAAATAAATAACTTTTAAGTTAAAAAATTTATATAATCATCAAATAAATTCTAACTTTAATTGTAAAGCTTTTTTCTAGCTTTTAACTTAAAAGTAATTTTTAACTTTAAAAAAAAAAATCTCAAACAGACTTAAAAGTTTATAGCATTGAGCAAAATGAATTCTCTCGTGAGAAGTTCAGAAAGAATCATTGCCTATTTCAGCAACAAAATTAGCTCATCATGTTACTTTCCCAGATCTACAAACAGTACTATATTCTCTACCTGATGGAGCATAAGAGCTAAGAACAAAATTGGCCCATAATGAAGGACCTATCTATTACAATTTCTCAAAGTTAGACAACACACTCTAAATTAGATAAAAATTTCATTGCCACCAAACTATACAAATTTAGAGTAAAACTTGGCTCTTGCAGGGTTGATTCCACCAGCCAAACCCTCCAACCAAGGATGTAACTGCTGTTTAGTTAAAGGTGGAAAACCTGGAAAGTAGAAAAGGGAAGCAATGAATAAGGAACATAATCCATTGGACACAACTAGTGCAAATGGAGCCATAAAGTTTGGATTATGATATGTTAAAAAACCATGACCAAAGGTTTTTTAGTGTTAGTTGCTTAGGTATTGATTGTTAATGGTTACATATTCTGAGGGGACCACAGTTGCAACAATAAGTCATGGATTGAGTAAGTGTCTATTTTTGAGGTCCCATGACAAGATAAGAACTTGGAACAAATATTTAGTGGTATCCAAATTTTAGCAGTTAGTTGACTACCTTCAATTTAGATGAAGGGACCACTCCCACAACATTTATTTGCAGCTTGACTAAAGATAAAGCATCACACACAAAGTGGAGGGTACATATTCAATTTTCGTGCCACATTTTTAGGATAAGGAAAAAATATATATATAAAGTTCAGCATTCAACCTGTAATAATTACAATATGACGACAGCTGAAAAATGTTGAGGAAATGATTTCTATTTGAGAGAAAGAAAGGAGCAATTAATCATGCATCAGGTAACCTTTTCAAACTGATGCATGCTCACCAAACATATTGCTTTTTAGTAGAATATGGTTACTTTGGTCATGCAAGCACCCTAGGAGGCTAGGACATACTGTAAGCAATGGAAATGCACGGAAAAAAAGATGACCTAATCTAGTTGAAAAAGTCATCCCCATTAAAAGGTAGCATGATAAAGGCTACCTTAGTTTTAGTCCTTTCATATTAACTAGATATTACATTTCAAACTTTTAATGGCTTACATATCTTCAAATTATTGCCCTGCTTTTACTGTGCTTACACGCATCTAGCATAAGAAAATCCACACAAATATTATATTCCATTTAACATAAAATAAGGAGGATCCTTTCACATATCAGAGTCCAAGAGATTAATAGCATGATATGAAAAGAACAACTTTATTACTTTTGGCAAGTCTTCAAGGAAAGAATGGTCATATTATCCTTTTTTTTTAAGGTAACAATTTTTTACCAAAACCAGTTTCTACATTATTATAGCATTACATGGAAGGTATCATTTTCTTGAGGTATTCATCTTAGACTAGATCTAGTAATTCTTTTCTTTTATTTTCATTTTACCCCTTTTTGTTGTTGCTAATGGTTTGGTTTGGACAATTTGTACAATCACAGACAAACTCATATATAAGTGATTTGTCTACGAATCTAATGGTATATTATATAGTTGAGCAGGCAGACATACTGTGAAAGCATAAAGGGCTTCTTTCATCTTGCAATTATCTTGTTATTTACTCCGGAGGTCCTCATAAGCATGCTTCTAAACTAATTAACCTGTGAACAATGACAAGTAAAAACTGTCAATGAAAGTTATAGTATGAGAATAATCAAGTGAAAAAGGATTCCAAAAACAAAAACAAAAACACTCTTATATAAATAGGTGGGAATTAATAAAATATAAAACTGAAGAATGCCATGAAATGAATTGTCTTGACTAATTTGTGTTAATAAGTACTGAAATTGGACCCTCAATAGAAGTTCTTTGCTATGTAAAATTTATAATGATGATCTATATCTGACTTATAATATGAATATAGCAGAGCAAAACAAGAACAATTCTCGCTGCCAACCATTGTTTGAGGCTATGCAGAAGCCAAAATCACATGTGTAAATCATTCACTTTTAATATGCCAGTGCAGAATGTTATCAACCACAAGGAATTTAAATAGATTCTAGAGCAAGGATTATTAGAAGCAAGTTGTTTCTTATCCTAGCCAGAAAAATGTTCATTGGTTGTCTACATGGGGAAATGCATCTGTTTATCCACAAGCAAAAGGCGAAACCTTACTTTGTTGTAAGCCGGAGAAAAGAAAAGTAAGTAAGTGGATTACCCATTTTGCCACTCACAGAATCATCAATATTAGTTGCTCCAGCCAAGGGTCCACTGCTATTGCTTGGCGGAATCATTGTTTGACTATGTTGCACTGCCTGGGGACAATATCTGAATGCATTCATTGGCTGCACTACGAAACCAACATAATTTCAGTAGGTAAACTATCAGAAACTTATCAAGAAGACATAAGGGTTTTTTTATGCGGGAAAAAATAAAATTAAGTTCTTTTTGAAAGAAACCAATTACCTGAGAGGCATTTTGCATAAGATGATAGCCCATGTAACGAGCATATTGCTCTGAAAGAGCTGGATTTTGTATCTGACTTTGGTAATTAAAGGCACCCAAAATAGGAGTTTGGCACATTGATGTCTGGTTTGGTGTCTGAGACATAGATATGGATTGGTCAACTGGCATTCTTGGCAATTGCATCGGATTGTGAATAGGAGGAAAAGGTGTAGCCATTCCCATACCCATTTGTGTCATATAGTGCTGAATTCCTGGAAACATCACTGGTGCCATGCCAGATCCCATCCACATAACCTAGCAGCAAGAACAAAATTGTTTATTTCAATTCTTAGCAATGTGAGACAATTGTTGTAGGTAAGAAAATATATGGCACATGTACCTGAAGTTGTAACTGAAGAGATTTCAAGTATTCGATTGCTTCTTCTAACATTGATGCTTTGTCTGTCTGCACATACATCCCTTAGTTTTTAAACCACTATGATTGAATCTTATAAAGTGAAGAATCAGTTTCTACACACTTGCATTTTGCCTTTTTCACTTGACTGTTTCACACATTATTTTATGTGCATATGGTCCAATTGTTTTGTGCTAAATATCACAGCTCTTTACAGAAAAGATTTCATTTTCTGATTCTCTCATTCTTTTAAGCACATTACATATTATCTTTGTTAAGTGTTTCACTTTCAAATCTCACAAAGAAAATGTTATGACAGTATAGTCAACATGCATTATGATAACAAACCTTGTTACTGTGAGGTATGAGTTGTTGCAATGCCTTCATCTTTTCATTGATCCTATCTCTTCGTCTCTGCATCAGTAAAACAATATTGTCACAGGTAAGAATAAAGTTTACAAAACTTTCAGTTTAGCAGAAAGTGCCAAAACCCCCCACCCTTTCTGACAGATTATGCACTTCAGCAGCACGGTTCCTTCGGGCCGATCCTGCCCGTTGAGATGCCTTGTTTCGAACTGCAGATTTGAGTTCTGTGTCCTATTACACATAAAGTGATAGCTCAGTGTGCCAAAGAAATAAGAATTTAATCATGAAGGTAAAATAGAGAGGGAGGCTTCACCTCACTTTGTTCCTCTGAGTCTTCTACATCTATCCCTTTCCTTTTTTGGCCCTGGTTTCTTGTAGATAGAGAACAAGTTTTTCCAAGACTACTGCCAGAGCCACCAGAAGATGAAGTCATAGTTGGTTCAAGCATATCTGATTTCCCTTTCTCATTCTGAGGAAGTGTTCTTTGACCATCATCTCTTACAGCTTCAGGTTCGGCTGTTAAAGTAGTAGTCCAACCCCCATTGCTCGATGCCCGGCTTACATCTGGGTCTTGGGGGATTTGATTGCTACCACAATAACTTGAACCAACTGTCATCACTGAGCACTCTCTAATTTCACTTTTTGGCATATTATTACCAGTAATTTTGTCTCTTAAATGTGCATTAGCAGATGCTGAAGAAACATTGGGGGGTGCTGAAAAGTGAGAAAAGTTTAGGACCTTGTGTGATCCACCCAAGTTATTGTTTTTCTGAGATGAATCAGAAACATGGAATCTTGGGGCAGGCATAGGAATTCCTGAGAATTCATGAACACCAGAGGGTTTCATATTAGGTGATTGTGAACTTACAGGAACATGGTGGGGAGCACTAGAAGCTTCCAATTTGGAAAACTTTCCCTCTTCAAATTGCCTGATTTGCTTATAAGACTCAACTTCAGAAGGTGGCATTTCAGATAAAAGGTTTGAACAGAATTCTTGTTCCAAAGGATCCTCAAGAGGGTATTGGATCCATGAGACTGTCTCATCATCTTGAATCAAGTTACTCGAGTTTGCAAATGGCTCATTAGTCTTCAGTGTTGATTGAAAATTTTTCTGAACCTGTCTTGAAGTGAATGAATCCACAACTGGTTTCCTATGTGTTTGGCTGTGCAATACTACCTGGCCATTTTGCCATAGGAGTTCTACAAGTTCTTGGTCCAACCTGTAATATTGACCGCAAGGATAATTATAATTTAAGCAAAGTTAATTGGGACAAGAACAGTATTCAGCTTTGATAGAGATAAATTGCACACACCCCGTATTCTTCTTTTGATTGGTGATCAAGGTATCACTCTCAAAATTCCAATCAGGAACACTGTTGTTCATGGCTAACCAAACCAGTTATCTGTTTGCACCAAAAGAAGAGAACTTTAGATTCTGTATAAAAAATCAAAACCAAAGACCCTTTTCAGTGCTAGATTTTGACTCCATGTGAACAACCTTTAAGAGCAGAATAAAATAATCTGCATAGACCAGCCAACTGAATAATCAAATAAAACAAATTTTTAAATATCAAAAGAAATAATAAAATAAAAGAAAGGCTTTGGGAGTTTGGGTCATGTATGGAACTTTACCAGCAGAAGAGAGAACAAACCAATGAAATGAAACCATAAGTAGTTTTTGCCATTCTGAATCGTTAAATAAATATAGCACCTAAAATACAAATTCCAAGGACCCCAAATAGGAAAATTCAACTCTAAATTACAGTTGAAAAGGTACAAATACATTTACAAGCCCAGAGAAAGAAAAACAACGAAATTCAATAATAAAAACATTAAACCCAACAAATTGGGAAAAATATTTGAGACATAGAAGACTCATAAACAAACACCAAACAGAGAAACATAGAAAAACAATTTCCAACAAAACAAATTAAAAAAAAAAAAAAAAAAAAAAAAAGATTCACAAATCACTGAAGACACAATGAGAATGAAAATTTATTATTTTGAGGCAAGAAAAGAGAACCACACCTGAGCTAAAGCAAAGTGAGTGTTTTCTAACTTGTTGGTAGCTACAAGCTACAAACAGAAGCTCCTTGTTTATCACCTCTTTCTCTCTACTCTAGTTCCCTCTCTCTGAGTGTGTCCTTTGTGAGAATAAATTGGGGAGGAGAGTTTTTAACAGCAAAAAAGACAGTGACATCACCAAACAGAGTCAGTGATAGAGAGAGAAAGCAAAAATCCCATGGTAAAATGGAGCTTGTGCTTCTCATCAGCGAGAAAAACATGGCTCCACAGGTGTCATATGATTAATGTACATGGACCAGTTGACGGCTATAAAAATATGGGAAAAACTATCTTTTCTTTTTTCAGGTGATGGAGTTTAGAAGTTTGTCTTTAGACATGAGATAACTTATCTCCTTTAATATGAGATTAATAAAATCCTAAAAATATACACATTTTTTTTAAAAGAAATTTCACAATAAATATATTAATATTTAAATATATAAAAGATAATGTCAATCATGTGAACTCTTAGATGTGTGTATTGTTATTATGTTATAGTAGATAAAATTTATTTTATATATATATATAAAAAAGTTGTATGAGATTTATATTTTTTTTTCTCTTCTTTCTTCTTATATGTGCTCATATAGACCCCATATATTTTTGTGTATATATAAAGAGTTCGTTTTTTTGCACTGCAGATAAGTTATCTGCACTAAGTTCAATACGACGTAGTTTTGGATTGAAAATCATGGTATTTTTGTAATTTTAATTTATTTTAGGGTTATTATAGTATTTATAATTATAATTTTTTAATCTTTCAATCTCAAAACGACGTCGTTTTGAAAGTAAATACAGATAACTTATCTGCATTAATTGCTAAAATATTTTTCTATATATAAAAGATAAATTTACTCTTACAATATAGAAAAACATTAAATCTTTATTGAATAATTGAAAGTTTCATCGTGCTTTGGATTAATTGGTAAGCGTTGTTTTATCTTAACAAATATTTTCTAATTTAAATTTTGAGTATATAATTTTGTTAAAAATATAATAAAAGTTTTAATTTTATATGATTCAATTGAATTAATTGACTTGTTGATAAATTATTAAAAAAATTAAAAGAGTTATGATCTTTTTTATAAGAAATTTATATAGATACTACAATTTTTTTTTGTGGGTTGATTATTTAAAACAAAATGAAGAGCTTGTTTGGATCCTCTTATTTTTAAGTTAGAAACTATTTATAAGCTAAAGCTTAAAAAAAGAAGTTTGGAAATTATATAAAAATTTTAGCTTAAAAATTACTTAAAAACACATATTTCAAGAAAATTATATCTCTCTCTATCTGTATCACTCTTCATTTAAAAAAAAAAAAGCATACAATTCAAGAAAAACAGATAAGAGCTTAAAAAAAAGCTCCTCCTAGAAGCTTTTAATTTTCAGCTTTTTTCTTCATTAAAAAAAAAAAATTTATTATAAAATTTTTTCCCAAAATCTATTTTACCTAACTTATACTTATAAATAAGTATGCAAGTAGTTACGAAATCTAAAACTCCAAGCACATGGTGGGTGCTATCTCAAGTTTGATGGAGGGTGATGCCACTTGGCAGTGACAAGCTGTATTTCTATTAGCGTTAGGGAAATGATAAGGGACAGCATTGTCAGATAAAGAGTGGTCCACATGCTCATTCAAATTATCAAACACCGAGAAGCCACTACTCATTTTATTACACTAGTTCATTTTTTATTTCTTGTGTTCATATTTTATTTTGCATTCTGGGATTTTCCACATGTGCATTGTTGTAGTTAGATTATTATCTACTTGGAACACTCAATTTGAAGAAATTTGTGTGTGTTAAAGTATTGTACTTCTAAGAGATAGCTGTGTTGTGTAAACGAATGTCAACCTGACACAGGTTTCCATTTTTCACGAGTCAGTTGAAAAAATTATTGGGTAGTACATCATCTATTAAATTTAGAGGACAGTGATCCATCCAGTTATATTTATTATATTTTTTAGTTAAATTAATATAAATCCTACTTATTTTAGTTTTTAATAAAAGAATTTATAATATAAGATTACTAAAAATTTACTCGTACTGTTGCACAAACCCTCTAGGCATTCATGCATACAATAAATATTTCTAAATTTGATGGACGGATGAGACTAGAAAAAATCTTTCAATATTTTTTCTCTGCACAAAAAGTTACGGAAAGACATAAAAATAAAATGTAATTTTTATTACATAATTCGAGTTATAACCAGTGTTAGCGTTAGCGTCCAACACGTGAAGGGATAATAGAAGATTTTCCCTTTATTAATAAGTTTTTATCATGAGTTGACTTTGACTCTATGCCTTTTTATTTTACATTGAACATTCAAAAGTTAGTAGTTCAAAGGTTTTTTTTTCTGTTGATATAATTCTAGTTGGTGAATACATAAAAGAAATAAATTCTAAACTTGAGCTGCGGGTAAAATATAAGAAATTTTAAAAAAATTAATTCAGTATTAAAAATATAAATTTAATAAGACACGAGTTATTAATATTCTATTGGTGAAGATTGGAATCACATCATACCACTAATTGTAATATTTAAGTGTGTCAGATATATTTTTTAAAGTCATAGAAAATTAAGGGATATATAACACATGATTTAAGTTGTGTTAAGAACCATTTCAACCAAAAGTTAAATTAATTGTTTTATATCTCTATAACAAGTTGGATAGATGAAATTAATAATTACTTGAGATATAATTTGTGATCATAAAGTGCCTGTGCAAGAAGAGCGGTCTAACATTCAACCCTCTGCTGCCAATCCCCATATTAATGCCAATCTTGTCCCTCTACGTTGTGTTCCACGCCTCCACCTATATGAATGGAATTATAATCATTGTCGAGTAAGTAAAAAGTGTCTTAAGAATCTTATCCTCACAAACAAGAGTGATCCTTCACAAGTCAGAACTGCTATTGAGAAAAGAGTTTAAGAGATATTATTCTGAAACTAGAATGAGTTCTATCACAAAAGTGAGAGCAGTCCACTAAATTAGATGAGAATAACTTATTGTAATTCATTTTAGTGGGTGAGGTGATAAGTGCAATTCTTGTATATACCAAAAAAAAAAAAAAACTTTAGTAATCCTATTTTCTAGTGGAGATTTATTTTTGGACCTTTGGTCCAATGATTTTTCTCTTATATCATTTTAGAAGGGTTTTTCATATTAAATATTTATGTGCCTTGTTAAATCCCTAAGGATCAAAGGTTGCTATATGATTTAGGTACTAGTTTTGTCTATGAACGAAATAATTGTAGGTGGTGGTATATCACTATGCACAAGACGAAATATAAAAAGCTAATGATGTATATGTGCATAATAACAACGAAATAAGATTAGGGTTTCAAAGAACATACTAATATGGTTTAACTCTTTATATATAGAAAGATTTTACCTTGAAATAGATAAGGCTCAATTTACCTTTCTGAACAAGGGGTTATAAGTTTATAACATGGGTGGAGAACATGCCTCTTTATTTCTTCTTCTGAAAATTTGTTGTTAATTTGTCTGATTTTATATTTCCTAACACTACTATACTCGTTTATTAAAATTAGCAATAAGTGAAACTGATATGATATTAATCATATGAGAGTGAATAAAATAAATATATTTAACTAGATATATATAGTTTTTAACTTTAATAAACTATGTTGCACCGATATTGACACGGGACACGAGATACGACATGACACGACACTCCGACACGTTAATTTTAAAAAATGTTAAATTTCGACACGTTGTGACACGTTTTGATATTATATAATATTTTTAATTTATGTAGTGTATATTATATTTAATATTCAATAATTTAACAGAAAATAAAGCTAAACTTATAATACTCATCAATTTTGCAAAGAAACATAAGATATCTCAATTGTTTATATTAAACTCAATAAAATAGTAATCATAATCCAACGAATCTAATAGGTAGAACTCAAAATGCAACGCAACGTAACTTTTGAACCTTTTTTGAGTCTTTGCAACGAGTATTAGAGTGTCGGAGTGTCGGTGAGTGTCAGAAAGTGTCGGACACGACACGTTAGAGATTTTGAAGTGTCAGTGTTTCATAGTTAATAAATAATGTACGAAAAATTCGAAACAAATATTGGGCAGAATAAGTAAAAAGTGAATCCAGTCCCGTATGACAGCTCGATCTTATTCCCCACTCCCGGTTGTCAAAACATACAGCGTACGAGTATGAGATACGTATTTTTCTTATTATAAATAAAAAACATTTGGCTCTCCAGTATTATTCCATTCACATTGTATGAGATATAAGTTTTTTTCTTTTTAGGTATAACTACCTTGATTACTTCTTTGAGCTTAGTCACAATTAAAGTTTATTGTCCCTCACTAAAGATGTATTTGGTGGCCCGTGAGAATCAAACTCAAATTTTCTCTCCCATTTTACTCAACATGTATTGCCAACTGAATTGTACCCATTGAGTTAGATGTGTGTTTTAAGTAAAGGTGTATGAGTACAAATTATGTGTAAATGGAGAATTATTATATTTCTCACACTACAAGAAAAAAGTTTATTTGTGATGAAAAATTTGGTCATAAATGATAATTTTTGACACAAATAATCAAATTTCGTCACAAATAAATTTGCGACGCAAAAATTTGTAACGAAATTTACTTGCGACGTAGGAATTTACGGCGTAGAAATTTCATAAAATTTCTTCACTAGTAAAATTTTTTCTTGTAGTGTCATGTGGATGTTGTGTCTTGGATAAATTATTAAACATTTATTGACTGGTTGGTTTGTTTTGTATTAAATGTTTTGAATTTCATTAAATAATAAATATAACTAGTAGTCAATATAGACAACTGATTTTGGGTACCAATATTCATTTAAAACAAGATTATGACAATCAAAGTAATTTGCAAATAAATAACATTATTTCATGCTTAAATATTAACTATATATACTTATATAAAACAAATTCTTCACTTTGCTATCTTTTTGTTTCTAATGATGATGTTAATTATAATTTAATAATTTGATGCAAAATTAAGAAGGATAAAATAATAAAGATATCTTATTAATTACGTTATGGATCCATTTGTGGACCCTACAACTTCTAGAAGACAAGAGATCAGGATAATCCTAATTTAAATATAAAAGACTTCATCCAT